ATGCCTCATGTCACCTGCACCTGGTCACCTACCCCGCCAGCTGCAGGTTCCTCATGCTGCTGGTCAGGTGCAGGGCTCACTCCCACTCCCTGCCATTCTTGGGTCACCGCTGCCACCCCCACCCCCAGCCAGGCACACAGCCCTCCCCTCCTCTGGAGCCATCAGGCTGTCAGCCAGAGTTTGCCTGGGAGTGCAGTCCAAGCTGTTGCCTCCCCCTGCACCCTGCTGCCTGCTCAAGTATAGAGCAGAGGGCATGGTTATGCCCCATCCTGGGGACAGTACACTGAAACAGGGAAGGGGGTTTAAAGCCCCTCCCTGGTCCCAGACCTTGTCTGAGGTTTGCCTGGGGAAGTAGTCCCTCCAAGACACCCCATGCCCTGCCCCATGCCCTCGCCCCCTCCAGCAAGGAAAGGTCTGGCAGGGGCTACCCCCACATCCTCCTGACAGACTCAGCTGTGGTTCCCAGCCAAGTTTCCCACCACACCCCCTTGTTAGCCAGTCCTCACTGCTCCAGCCAGGGAGTGGAAGGGGGGGCCAACCCTGCTCTCTGGAGCAGACAGCCCAGCCAAGCCCAGGGCTGCAAAGCATCCTGAGATGCTAGGGGACTGTGGTTTAACTTGTACCAGGAAGGGGTCTGGGACAGAAGTTTCATAAACCGGTTTGACTTAAATCACTTAAGTCTGATACTACATTCAACAGGGTTTATCTTAAACCCATTTCAGCCATTTTGAAACTGGTTTATGTGCTCTGAACTTTGGTTCTGTTACAGGTTTAAACCAGTTTCTAATCACTTAAACTGGTTTATGTGTAACTTCTGTCCCTAGCCCAAGAGTGCTTATCAAGCTTCTGACTTTGATTACATTTATTAAAAAATATTAGGTTAATAGAGCTACAGCAGATTTACACCAGTAACTGAGAGCAGAAACTGGCACGGCACAGCCTGGAAGCAGTAACTTTCTGCTCCACTTGAACTAAGGATTTTTTTAATTAATTGTGATTAACACAGTCCTTGTATTTAGGGATAAAATAGACCATAAAAAGTTAAGAAGTTTCTAAACAACCTTCCACAAGTATCTCAGTCTGAGGGAGGTCCAGGATTTCAGTAACACAGTTACCTAAATAACCTTGGGAACTTGATGTCCTCCCACTTATATTTAGATAGAAAATAAATAATTATGAAGCTGAGGTTACAGAAAGAGTTATGTGCCCTAGAGGAACGAATCCCACAAATTTTTAAGCTTCCTGCATGAATGGTGGTTTGGGGTTTTTTTATGACACTCATTTTGTATCTGTCACATATTTGGACCTGGCAGACGAAGTATGTTTCTAACTGGAACCATAAAGTCCTCTGGAGCAATCAGCAGTCCTCAGTGAACCTGATCTGAATTTTAGGCTCATTAGAAAAGTTGGAACTAGGCAAATTTTGCTTGCTTATTTATTTTCTTATGAAAGTTTTGCATACCTTTCTTCACAGCCATTCTGTGGACCAGTCACTGAAAGGCAAGATAATCTCTAACAATCTCTTTCCAGGCACACCTATCTAATTATTTCTCCTCTCATTTAGATAAGGTAACTAATGATTATTTTGTTCACTTTTTTTCCAACTTCCTAACACCTAGCAAAGTGCCCTTTTCTAAGTCAACCCTTGGCAGGCAGTTTCTTTCCAGGGCTAGCTGGATCATGCCTCTAGCTGGCAGGCAGGCAAGCTTTGCCGTGACTCTTGACCAAACTGTCAGCTGGCTCTTCTGCAGCTCTCCATGGTAAGCTATTACATTTCATGACTTTTCTCAACAATAAAAAAATGTCATTTTAATTGACATAAACAGGTTTTTCTCAATTAAAATAGCCAAAAATCTTCTCCAATAGAAGTAAAAAATATTTGCACGCTTATGCTAGGTGATTATTCTCATTTTCCAGCAACATTAGCACTCTTTGAAGTCCTATGGGCTTATTTTGCACTAAAACAACTTTCATTTTATTAAAAAGACCAAAGGTTGAGATTTTCAAAACTGTCTAAGGCTTTAGGACATGGATTTGCATTAAAAGGAATCTAATCTACCAAAGGAACAGATGATATAAGTTTAAAACCCCTAAGCTACTTTGAAAATCTCAGTTAAAACATTTCTTTCTTGGTCACACCAGCAAAATAGCCTTTTTCATTAGCAGTTTAAGGTGAGCCAGAGCAACAAAATGTTTAAACCAGCCCACTGGAGGAACAGAGTATCAGTCAATTTGATACCTAGTTTGAATTCTGAACCCCACATATTTGTGCTGCTGCTTTTTGCTCCAGAGCATGCCCCTGCATGCACGCTCTGGCGCATAGCAAATTGTCCTCCTGGGGCCGGCAGCACCGATCCAGCTGCATGGAACCTGGCCGGCAGCCAGAGCGTGGCTCTGGATAGCCAGGTTTTTGGTGGCGCACAGGGCTGCTACGTGCGCTGCACTGCTTTTTTTTGCAGCATTTTTTGTCGTTTTGTGGGTTTTTTTGACACCAGGATCTCCCAGTGTCAAATTTTGGCACCACACTGTAAATTAGCAGCATGGCAAATGGGTGCACATGCATGACAAACCGCATGAGCACACTCGTCTGGACACACCGACAATACTCAAACTTGATCAGGATACTTGACCTAAAGTTTGCCATACAGTGCCGTATAGATACTTCCTATAACTCTCCAAAACTAATTAGAAACTTTTATTAACCCAGGTACTGTATTATACAGTGTGGTATTGTTATAAAATTTAGAGACTCAATCCATTTTACGCATTTTTCCTAATAATTGGGAATGTGTAATTTTGAATGAGTGAATTATTCCATTACCATCTAGCCAAACAGGTATCATTACCACTCTGGAAACCTGGCATCCCAAAAACAGAGCCTTGCTGTGTTCTGCTTTAAAGGTGATCTCTGGGAATTGTTTGCTGAATAGCTCCAGAGTCTGCTGTACATCATTTTTATTCACGAAAAGAAAAATGTCATCCATGTAGCATCTGCAGAGTTGGCTGAGTAATAAGTTTGTTTAAAAGTATCATGTTCCAGATTAGTCATAAAGATTTCATCAAGTACTGAAAAAATAAGAGATACAGTTGCAGTTCCAATACACTGATAATAATAATGCTCATTGTACACAATCTATGTGGTGGTGATGTGATGGATAGAGTAAGCCCACTTCCAAAATGTCTACTATACCACTGTATGTTTGGGTCCAAGATAAATGAATCAGCTTAATGTAAACACAGAATTGAATTCTTTTGAAAAAGTGTTGAATAAAATCTTTAACACAGTTGACAATTCATTTGGATTGTTAAATATTGGTTTTCTATTTGACAGTAGAAGAAAAAAAACCTGCCACCAAGACGTGTCATCTGGCCTCTGTTATTTGCATTAAAAGTTATTCCTGTTCCATTAAATTTAAGCAAAATAAATTCTCATCTCAATTCTCATCTCAAATATCTTATTTGCCTAATTACCTTAGTATACCTCAATTATCTTTAAAAAATCTGTTACTGCAACTCAGTAGCAGAATGTAGGACAATACTTTATTTACTGAAATCTAAGATGAAGTTTTCTCTCCCAATCAGTATGGGGTGGAGGAGGGGAAGCTTCTCATCTTCTATTCATATACAGAATAGGGAGGGGAGCAGGTGGCTGCTGCATCTCTGACTCTTGAACCCAAGGAAGGAGCCAGAGTCAGACCCACAGCAGCCTCCTGCCCCTGCCTCCACTTCCGATCTGCAGCTTCTGCACCCCTTGCTACCCACTCCCTTCCTTCCCCCTTACTGTCAGGCACAGCTTGGCTCTGGCTCAAGTCAGGGTCTCTCCTGGGCATGGAGCAAATGGAAACTCCTTCCTGTGCCTAGTCAGTCAGCAATGCTAACATTGCTGTGTGGCCAGGCAAGGGCTGAGCTTCCATGTGCTGTGCAGTGGGTGGGAGCAGCCTGAGCAGCACCTCCTAGTAAGGTGGGGTGGAAGGCAAGGGGAGTTGGGGAGGAAGGGGCAGGGACTGAGGAGAGCTTGGGGTGCAGGTGGCAGGAGGGCTGCAGGGGGGAGAAGTGGTGGGGGCATAAGGCAAGGGGGCCACCTGACTCCCCCCCCAACCACTGTTTTCCCTGGTGTAGCAGCAGTGGACAGGGGGAATTCAAGACAACCATCCAGTACTTAGATTCTATACCTGGAAAATTATAACTTATACATTTCCCACATCTGGAATCTAATTATTGGCGGGGGGGGGTCATCTTATATGCAGGATTGTCTTATATTTGAGTAAATATGATACATAAGACAAGGGGTAAGCAACTTATAACCCATAGTCAGGTTCAGGCCCACAGAGCCATTTGTTTTGGCCTGCTCACATGGGGCTTTGGCAGCAGTCGCTTTTCCGTGCTGGTACAGAGTAAAACAGCAGCAGTGGCTGAGTCCTAGTGCCCTCTTGCCTCTGACCTCAGCGAGTCACTCAAACTCACAGCCTAAAAAGCTTGCCAGCTGCTGCATAAGACGATACAATGCTACAACATGTAATTACAACTAGCACTCCACTGTAATGGGAATGATAAATTAAATAGGAGTGAGTAATTCCTACAAAACCATGGAGTTCAGATTAGATGGAGCAAGTGGATTTTTCTGGCCCTGCTACCTAAATTTTAATGAATGGCCAAGACTTGTTTGGGTTTATTTTTTTTTAATTTATTTTTTTAAGAGATGCAATAGTTACTTAGGATTAGAATAAGGCTTGTATTGTTATTGCTACTCCCCCTCACTGGTATGGGATTTTAGTAGAGTATGGAATAAAGTATGGGAGTTTACAATAAAAAGAAAGAACTTGGTTATCCAACAGATTAATAAGTATGATGCTCCCTAATATTATTTACAATTTGGACACATGGCTATTTTGTCATTGAGGACTATCTTAGTTAAAGCAACTAAGCACCAGAGATCTCAGCTTTTGGATTTGGTGGTGTCAAATTCTGTATCCGTGCATAGTAATAGCATGGGTGAGACAACTGAATGGCTCCAACAGTGGCCAGAATGACAAGCCCCATATTAGTTCCTTCATTGAAAATTTTAATAAACTGGTCAAGGATGAATTGGAAGGAGACTGAAACTCATGGTGAGTAAGACACACAATGATGTACCAATTTATGAAAGTCAAAAGTTATGAAAGTACCTTCCACTGACTATCAATGCTGTACAGATTCTGTTCCAAATGTGAGGTCTGTCTGCAGCACCACATACCACATGTTCAGCTGTTCTCCATGCAGGGAAAAAAAGCGTCAGCGTGCGCTGCCCAAAGCCAGAGCCACACTCTCTTGCAGGCCAGGCTCCATGCAACAGGAGGGACGCAGCTGCAGACCTGGGAGGCCCCCAGGACCCCAGGTAAGCCCTAGCTGGGTGGGCCCCAGCCTCCCCTACTCCACCCAGGGTAACTTGCCACGTGCCAGAGCATGCATGGCATGGGCATTCCCCAGGGACAACTAGTGGCAGCACAAGGTGCGCTGCTGCTAGTTGCCCCCAGGGAACCAAACGTCTACACCACGTGTGGACACGGCTTCTGAGTAAGGTGGGCAAGATTTAGATCTTCATGAATAAATCAATCATTTTATTTGCTATAGATCCTGTAAAACTAACAACCTTATTTTGAAGAGCATTAAATAAAATCAGCCTGTTATCTGTAAACATTTTGTATACTTTTTTTTTTTTTGTTTAAAGAAAAGAATATTCAAAACCCATGTCTCTAATTTTACTTTTTGGCTCAGGTTTACCTGGCCATTGTTCTTGATTTCTTTGTCAGACAGCTGAGATCTGGTTTGAGAGGGGGGAAAGTAATAGGGGAGACAAAGTACCTCAGCAAGCTTGTAAGGCATAAATTTAGCTTTACAGAATGTCTGTGCTTGCAATCAGCAGCCAAAAGAGTTCTGCTATGATCATCAGGAGATGATTTCTATCAATCAGTCAAGTACTGCCTGTTAGGATCTCTTGGTGAGGATGTAACTGAAACTGCAACTCCCTCTAGGCTATTTTTATTCTCTTTGTAGCCAGAATAAAAGCAATGGAAGTTCTCTAGCTTTCCAATCCATTAAGTGGCATGGATCAAAAGGATTAGTATTGTAGCCCTAAAAGGCTATTTTTCAGAGCTATAATTGAACTGATACCATTTTGTGTGGCATTGTTCAGGACATTAATCAAGTCACACTGTTGATTTAAAAATATATTTGCAGATGTTATCCACAAAAACAGAGACACAATTTGTTTCTAAGTGTTTTGCTTTCAGAAACAAGAGGATTCCATATTTACTATAGGTACATGTAAAATGCATTATATTACTCTGCTCAGCTTAGGTTTTCCAGACAACAGGCTTTATTTTTACGGTGTCTTGAATAGAGCAACACAGAAAATTGCCCTGATTTATTCTCTTGTCACAACCTATGATACTTCTGTCGTGGTTGCTGCTCTTTTTCATTATGCAGTGTCATATACTCCCTTGCCTAGTGGTGAAGTAAGGCAATGTTCCAGAGTTCCCAAATACCAGCAAACAGAGGCCTATTTCCATTATGTCTTGGTCTCACCCTGGGAACTTTTCCATTCCAGACTGGGTTTACAATTCCCCTTATGGATGGTTTCCATTCTGGTGCCTTATCTGGAGTGTACTACGGTATCTCATTCTTCATACTAGATGTCCTGTTTGGAGACAAGCGCCAAAACAATAAATCATGGGGTTAGGTTATTTTTAGGCTACATTTCAGTATCAATGTTGAGAATATTTCTGAAGAACCTGCACAAGGAACTTATTGTGTGCATATACAAATAAATGACACAATTCAATGGTTTAATACTATCTGCCAAGTTAAACTACTGCAGAGCAGCTGTGTACATTTAAAATGATCCCTGGCACTACTGAAGAGCCCATAAATCAGCAACAACATACTTTCTTCCAATTAGGAGAGTTAAAGGGGAAAAAAATCCAGAAATTAATGCGTCTAGGACAAGAATGACATTTCTATGCATTTGTGATTGTGAATAGAATAAAATAAAAAATAGTACTGACACACTTTATAATATTATGATTATGGTTCATAAAAATGTTAATTTTTGCCAGCATTTCAAATGTTTTCAAAAGCATTGTTGTGAGCAGATTTGTTTTAAGCTGGCCAATAAGGTTATTTTGGACTACGTAGAAGAAAAAAAATGGAATGGACCCATCAACCAAAATATCCAAATAGGAACAGATTCTATTCCACCTATTAGGCATGTAAGTGGATTTAGGCACAGAAGTGTAATTCTATTCTATCCTGCTCAGGACCCTGAAAACCACTTAATGCAAAACCTGGGTGGGTCCTCTTCCTTTTTCCTTGGTTTTATTTTTGTTATTCAGTCTTAATGGTAAGATGGCAGCGTGTTATAAAAGTAGATACATTAATGGCCTTTTAGGACTTTAACAAAGTGGAATAGAATTACACTTAGGTGTGTAAGCCCAGTTGTCAGGTGTCAGCAACCTGTGGCCCACAGAGACATTTTATGCAGCCTATGGGGCCAGGTGGTAGGGACAGCCAGGTGACAGAGAAAGGTGGCAGCTAAGTGATTCTGGCTCCAGTTCTGGCTCTGGTGACATAAACTGGGTTTGAAGTGGCCTGCATTTGACACTAAGCTCCATTAAAGTGGCTCTCCACAGCAAAAAGTTGCTGACCCCTGGCCTAATAGGTGGAATCTGGCTCAGTCTTTGAATTGTTTGAAATATTGCTCCCTAAGTCATTTCCATCTGGTCTCTCTCTTCTGCTGACATGCATGCGCTTGAAATGATGGTCACAGATAATCTTTTTGAAGTTGTCTTGAAAGTAAGCATGGCATTAGATACTGCTTTAGAGAACCTCATTACATATTTTCAGCACCTAAACTACTTTCTGCCACCTCCTCAAATCTAGACCAAAATCTCTTGGCTATTTGTCTTTTTCCCTTCAAATACCCGACCTTGGTTTTGAGATGCCAGCTCTGTATGTTAAATGTGCATAGCAGATACTGATGTATATTATATGCAGACATAATAAAAGAGGGCCCAGATCAGCAAGTCTGTTACATGTGGGTAATCCCATTGAAGTCCACAATAGACTTCCTTTAAAGACTTTGTAATATGTATTTGAGTTTTAATAGGCACCACTCAGCTTCATCTCCAACTTTTCTTGTTAGAAGTGCCTGGAAATATTTACAGTATCCGTCGCCTCATCCGACTCCTTCCATATGGCACATAAGCTCCAGAAATATGTTTCTTTTTTTCTATTCTGATATTAGTTCAGTCATTAATCTGTGTCACTGTATTAATTGCAATTTGTAGGTTGTTTAATGCCCCTGATGCTTTCTACCTCCAGGCATTATTTTCTGCCCTTTAACATTATTTTATATTTTATATTTTCAATGGGTAGTTTAGGTTGCAATAAAATAATACTATGCATACACACAGGTCCATTTGCAAACATTGCCTAATTAGTTTTGCAACATCTCTGTTTAGGGTGTGTGCATGTGTACTACTGTACTGTATGCATAAACTCTAAAAATTAACCGTGTTTGTGTCTACATAGCAAAATGAAGGTGCAGTTGTCAGAATGGTAAGCCTGCCTGCAATAGTTTTAACAAAGCTAATACAGGTGTCAATAGAAGTGAATATGGAGGGGCATGGATGTTAGCATGGTGTAGCAACTCAAGCATGCATCCAAGGGCACAGGGGGGCTTCTATTTTTTGCTAGCTCACATTTCATGTTCACATTGTCAGGCTTCCTCTAGTGTTGGTTTCCATGCTTAAGTAGATGAAAGCTCTATTTTGCTGAATTAACATATTCCCAAACTGTGGCTTGTTTAATTTATGCCACAATTCTAAATAGCTTCATGGAGCACAGAGATGAAAGCTAGAGGATACAATGTGTATTTGCTCTTATTCCCATTTTTTGGCTTGTATCAAAGACTCTTTAGATTAGGTCCAGTAGATATGCTGCAAAGGTCAGATTTAGGGAGCCAGGAGATTGGTTGCAGGAGTGTCAGTTACCATTTTCATTTTGTTTCACTATTGTCAGTTCCTTCTTTTGTGCATTGTTTTGCAGCTGAATTAATTTTTTTCTGGGCTTTTGTCTTCCCTCCAAAGGGAAGACACTCCCTTCCAACTGCAGTCTGACAGAGAACACTCCAGGCACACTTGGGTACTTTGCCACAGTATCGGTATATAACAACAAGCAGGTCTGAATCTGCTTGTTGTTAGCCTGGCCAACATAACCCATTTGAATCACAGCTCCCATGCCTAAGGGAGTCTTCCTATTCTACCATTATAGCAATTTGGGCCCGTTCTATGGTAAAACTTTGGATGTCCGGTAAAGATTTCCAGCTGTTTATAAGAAAGCCTGTGGTATAAACAGGTTATCTGGGGTGACTGGGAACCAAGTTTAAGTCAATGTTGCAATATCTTGCCAAAATGAGGTCAGGATAATTCTAGAGCTATAACTTGACATTACAGCTTGAAACCTACAGCCTGGTAATTTAATTAGAAACAGAAAAATGTTGGCTATAATGCAGATATGTACAATATTTTGAAAAAAATGCCAAATTATTAGAGTTTTTCATAAATTTGTTTTCCATCCCATTGTTTATGCCCTTTAGTGACAACCAGCTAGTTGACAATTCAGACAAGAACAAGTTAATAATTCTAGGAGCCACGTAAAAAGCTTTAAAAAATCACCGTTCAGTGATGGTTTAATGCATTTTACAACATTCCTTTTGACCTGCTCGTTTTCCAATTAAAATAGTTACTTTCTGCTCCATTAGGGTGAGATTCACTTTAACCAAGTAAAATGCTAATAATCAGGCATTATATAGACAAGCTGTAGGGAGCTGAAGAGGTGACAGTACCCCACTGATTCAGACAAGTTCCAGAACACCCTATGGTTTGGAATGACCTGAACCTCGTTTCCTTTGAAGCATACTGCATTCATATAAGTATAAATCCTACAGCCTTTTCTCTATTGCCGCCTTCCTTGCAAGGAGCACACCAAGAATTGGCAATCTGGTGATTGCAGCAAATGAAAAAGCTGACCTCTTTAATGAATTCTTTGCCTGCATATTCCTGAACAGTGCTCCCCCACTAGAACTGCAGATGGACCCAGGGGAGGCACCGCCATACCTAAGGTCAGGGATGACCTGGACGGGTTTAAATCAGTAGGTCCAGATGCTCTTCACCTGAGGGTACTGAGGGAATTGGCAGGGGTCATAGCGGGGCCCCTGGCATGGCTCTATGAGCACTCTTGGGGCACTGTCCAGGTACCAGAGGATTGGAGAAGGGCCAATGTGGTCCCCATTTACAAGAAGGGGAGAAAGGAGGACCATGGCAATTATAGGCCAGT